GCCTGCGGTCCGGAGAGACCCGGGTTCAGTTCCCGCTAAGGGCACGTACCTCGGTTGCAGTTTGTCCCCGGCCCTGGATGGGTCGTGCGGGTGGCAGCCGCTCGATGTGTCTCTTTCGCGTCGATGTTTCTCTCTCTCTCTCTTCCTCTCTCTCCCTCCCACTCTATCTGAACAAAAAAATGGAAAAATGTCCTCGGGTGAGGATAAAAAAAAAAAAAAAAGTAATATTTGTCTACAAGCATATTTCTTAATTATTATTATATCCCCTTAAGTTTTTTTTAATCCATCCAGGAAAAACACAAACCAACAAAGTAAGGATGTCTTAAATATGACAAAGAAATTTACACTTTGAAATGCTCAATTTCTTAATTATACATATTTAAGTAGCCACAGAGGGTTTATAAGGAGACTACTACAGAGTAGGATGCTAGCATTTAACTTGGTATCACTTATCTATTCAAATAATATACAGTGATTAAAACCCACTAAGCAGTAAATATCTAGCCATATACACAAATAACACTGTGAAAATATTTTGTATAGTTTCTACTATTTCTATACTTCTTCCACACTGAGATTTAAGTTGCACTGTTAAATATACCTTTTAGTTAAATACACTCCGATACCTTCTCACAGTGCCTGTTCAACATTCAAAAAGGGAAGTGCATACTGTTTGCTAAAGTAGCAAAAGAAAGGCCACATCCAAAGAGAATCAACACATTTCTGAGAGGATCCGGAGACATGCTTGATATGTGGACAGTGCACCAACGGCAAGGAATGTCATTTCAGGGACAAGCTAAACTGGCACGCAGGAGCCAGGCTCCTGGCTTATGGTTAAAGATGGTGGAGAAGGTAGATCCTAAGCTCACCTCCTCTCACTGACACCAAAACTACAACTACACAGAGAAGAACTGTCTCTTAGAACGACCTAAAGACTAGCAGAACATATTTTCTACAACTACAGATATAAAGACAAAGCGCTGGGATAGGTAGGAGGGGTAGAGACTCAGTCTAGTCAGGACCTACCCCACTCCCACTCCCATGCAGTAACCCACAAGTGAGAGGGATATCACAACAGCAGAGGTCCCCCCTGAAGAGTGAGGGGTTCAAGCCCCTGCCTAGGGAACCTGCAAGAGGAAGAGGAGCCCCCATAACATGTGTCTTTGAAAACCAACAGGGCTTACATCTGGGAGCCAGAGGGCTATAGGAAACTAAGGTTGTGTTCTTTCTGAGTCTCAGTGCAGAGGCAGCAGTTTGAAAAGCACCTGGGTCATATATGAAAGTGATACATTGACTAATTATAGGGTGTGTGTTGGTGGGGCAGGTATCTGTTGGAACTTTCTCCTGAGTCAGAGTGCTAGTGGGCACCAACTGTTTTTCCCTTTCTTTACTCTTCTACCTAGCTGGTCTGACACTGGCAGGTACTGTTTCTGACACTCTCCATTAACCTTGCTAATGTAATTTCTTTTTAATTCTCACCAGAGGATATTTTTACATTGATCTTTAGATAGAGTGGGAGGGAGGGGGAGAGAGAAAGAGAGAGAGAGTGAGAGAGAGAGACATTGTTGTGAGAGAGACACATTGATTGGTTGCCTCACACACGACTCCAACAGGGACCAGAGATCAAACCTGCAACTGAGGTACATGCCCTTGACTGGGAATCGAACCCATGACTCTTCAGTCTGCAGGCTGATGCTCTTAACAGCTGAGTCAAAACTGCCAGAGCACTAACACTATTTAAAAAATATATTTTTATTGATTTTTAGAGAGAGGGAGAGGGTGAGGGAGAGAAAAACATTGATGATAGTGAAACATCAGTTAGCTGCCTCCTGCACACTCCCCACCAGGGATCAAGTTCACAACCCAGGCATGTGCCCTGTTTGGGGATCGAACCAGCATTTGATTCACAGGATGACACCCTACCAACTGGTCCATACCAGCCAGGACTTGCTAACATTATTCATCATACCCTATAATTTCCACCCAGGCTAGCACCCCTCTAAAGTAGCTCCTTTCCTGCTACACATGCTGGGCAGCCTCAGTTGTCACCAGCACAAAGTAGTGTGTCTGTAACAGTCAAGGCTAGACCTGGCAGGCAGCTACACCGAAGGCCTGTCCTGCACACCAATCTGCCCACAATAGCTGTAGCGAAGCCTCACAGCCAGGGTGGCCAGGAACTAGCCTCGCCTGCCAGTGTGTCCTTAGTAGTTGTGGTCCAACCACAACAGAAGGCCACACTATTTCACACAAGGAACACCTCTGGAACACCTGGCTCTGGTGGCCAGGGGAAATTCCACCACTGGGCCTACAGGACACCCTCTAAATAAGGCCACTTTTTCAAGACCAGGAGACGAAGCTGACCTCTAATATGTAGAAACAAACAAGAAAAATGAGGAGACAAAAGAATATGTTCCAAACAAACAAACAAAATAAAACAAGACAAAACCCCAGAAAAAGAACTAAATAAAACGAAGGTAAGCTGTCTATTAGATAAAGAGTTCAAAGGAATAGTTGTGAAGATGCTCATCAAATCCTGCAGACTAGTGGATAAACTCGATGAGAACTTCAACAAAGAGATAAAAATGATAAAAAAAAAAAAAAAGAACCTATCAGAACTGAAGACTATAACAATTGAAATGAAAAAAAATATACAAGAGGGAATCAACAGCAGATCACATGACGCAGAAGAATGGATCAGTGATCAGGAATACAGGATAGTGAAAATCACCCAGCTGGAAAAGAAAAAAGAAAAAAAAACTTAAAATAATGAGAATAGCATAAGGGACCTCTGAGACAACATCAAGCATACTAACATTCACATCACAGGGGTCCCAGAAGGAGAAGAGAAAGAGAAAAGGATAAGAAACCTATTTGAAGAAATAATAGCTGAAAACTTCCCTAACCTAGAGAAGAAAACATCCAAATCTAGGAAAGCACAGAGAGTCTCAAACAAGATGAACCTAAAGACGCCCACATCAAAACACATCATATTTAAAATGTTAAAAGTTAAATATAAAGAAAAAAATCTTAAAGGCAGCAAGAGAAAAACAACTAGATACATATAAGGAATGGCAAGATATATCCAGAGGAATACATATGATTAAAGGGAAAACCTACAACCAAGAATACCCAGCAAGGTTATCATTCACAACTGAAGGAGATATAAAGAGGTTCCCAGACAAACAAAAACTAAAGGAGTTCATCACCACTAAACCAGCATTATAAGAAATGTTAAAGGGAATTATTTTTTTTTATCCTCACCCGAGGACATTTTTCCATTTTTTGTTCAGATAGAGTGGGAGGGAGAGAGAGGAAGAGAGAAAGAGAGAGAAACACTGATGTGAAAGGGACACATTGAGTGGCTGCCTCCCGCACAACCCAACCAGGGCTGGGGACAAACTGCAACTGAGGTACGTGCCCTTAGCGGGAACTCTAACCGCTTAGCCGAACCGGCCAGGGGATTATAGGGAATTCTTTAAGTGGAAAAGAAAAGGCCAAAACTAGAAATAAGAAACTACCTGAAAGAAAAAAAAAATCTCACTAGTAAAGGCAAACATATAGTAAAGATACTAGACCAACCACTTATAAAGCTAGTATGAAAACAACTAAAATGGCAATAAGTACATACCTATTAATAATTACTTTAAATGTAAATGGACTAAGTGTTTCATTCAAAAGACACAGGGTGTCTGAATGAATAAAAAAGTAAGACCCTTACATATGTTGTCTACAAGAGACTCACTTCAGATCAAAAGACACACACAGAATGAAAGTTAAAGGATGGAAAAAGTATTTCATGAAAATGGAAACAAGCAAACAAAAAAGGCTGGGGTATCAATAGTTATTATATGAGACAAAATAGATTTTAAAACAAAGATTATAACAAGAGACAAAGAAGGACTGAGCAATTCTACTTCTGGGAATTTATCCAAAGAAAATGAAAACACTAATTCAAAAAAATATATGCACCCCTATGTTCACTGAAGCATTATTTACATAATAGAAGCCGCCTAGGTGTCTACTGATAGATGAATAGATAATGAAGATGTGGTATACATATACAATGGACTTATTACTCAGCCATAAAAAAGAATAAAATCTTGTTATTTGTGACAAATAAATGGATCTAGGAGGTATGCTAAGGAAAATAAGTCAGAGAATGATAAATATGGCATCATTTCACTTATCTGTGGGATGAAAAAAACTAAATGAACAAACAAAACAAATAGACTTGTAGATACACAGAACAAACTGATGGTTAACAGAGGGTTAGGCAGTGTGAGGATGGGCAAAAAGGTGAAGGGGATTAAGAGGTACTAACTTACAGTCATTATATAAGTGGATGTAAAGTACAGCACAGAAAATATAGTCAATAATATTTTAATGACTTTGTACAGTTGACAGACGGTTACTAGACTTCTTGTGGTGATCACTTCATAAGGTATTTATGTCAAATCATTATGCTGTACACCCGAAACTAATATAATATGTATGTCAATGATACTTTAATTAAAAAGAGCTTTAGCCCTGGCCGGTTTGGCTCAGCGGTTAGAGTGTTGGCCTGCGGTCCACAGAGACCCGGGTTCGGTTTCCGCTAAGGGCATGTACCTCGGTTGCAGTTTGACCCTGGCCCTGGTTGGGTCGTGTGGGTGGCGGCCACTCAATGTGTCCCTTTCACATCGATGTTTCTCTCTCTTTCTCTCTCTCCTTCCCGCTCTATCTAAATAAAAAATGGAAAAATGTCCTCGGGTGAGGATAAAAAAAAAAAAAGCTTTACATTCCAGAATAAAAAAGCACATGTCTGAAGTTTTCTTATAGAAGAATGGCATTTCTTTTAAATATACTTCTTTACTCAGACACAGGTATAAGTCAACAAGTAGAAAAATGAACACAGAACTTAAGATAGCTTTTAAAACATAGGTTTAAAATACAAATAGAAATCACTTACTCAAATAAGTCAATATCCAAATAATAGAAATGATTATATCAAACATACTTACCTTTGAAAGGATTGATTCCCGCCCTTATTCTTGAAATAATAGCTTCTTTTACTTCTTTTTTCTTTACACATCGAATACCCAAATTTTGAAAGCTAGAAGGAAAACACAGAAATTTCAAACTTCATTATAGTTAAACACATAAGTACTAAAAAACACCGCAAGTATCAAGCTTATATCCAACACTGAAGAGTCATCATAATGTCAGATGGAGTCAGTAAAGCATGTTATAAGTTTCCAATCGCTATGACCAAGATGTGAAGTTAAAAAAATGTGGGGTTATATTCCTAAGAGAACTGCTAAAAGAAAAATAATATATACCATATAGTTTTGCATATAGTATTTTACAATTACACCTTACTAATATGCCTATGTCAAATATACCAAAGTAGATAAAGATGTTAACAGGAAAGTAACACCAAAAAGCTAAAATTCACCCCCTAAACAAATTCATTATCAAATCAATAAAATCTGTATATTTGATAATGTAAAGCAAAACCTGTAAAAAGATGTCCACAGCCCTGGCTGGTTTTGCTCAGCAGTTAGAACATCAGCCTGCAGTCCAGAGGGACCTGGGTTTGGTTCCCGCTAAGGGCGCGTACCTTGGTTGCAGTTTGTCCCCAGCCCTGGTTGGCTATGCGGGTGGCAGCCACTCAATGTGTCCCTTTCGCATCGATATCTCTCTCTCTCTCTCTCTCTCCATCCCTCCCTCCCTCCCACTCTACCTGAACAAAAAATGGAAAAATGTCCTCGGGTGAGGATAAGAAAAAAAAAAAGATGCCCACAGCTCGGCCGGTGTGGCTCAGTGGTTGAGCGTCAACCCATGTATGCACCAAGAGGTCGCTGGTTGGATTCCTGGCCAGGGCACATACCCAGGTTGTGGACCAAATCCCCAGTGGGGGGTATGCAGGAGGCAGCCAATCAATGTTCTCTCTCATCAATGTCTCTCTCTCCCTCCCTCTCCCTCCCTTTCTCTCTTAAAAAAAAAAAATCAATAAAGAAAAAAAAGATGCCCACAGGCTGAAGCCCACAGGTATATTTTGCTGAGCCCATAAAAGTGTTGTCTGCACTAAAAAAAAAGGGGGGGGGGGGCCTGGTAGATTTGGCTCAGTGGATTGAGTGTGGTCTCATGCAGTGAGAGATCCCAGATTGATTTCCTGGTCAGGGCACATGCCAAGGTTGCAGGCTCAATCCCCGCTGGGGGGTCGTGCAGGAGGCAGACGACTGATGTTTCTCTCTGACATTGATGTTTCTCTCTCTCTCTCTCTCTAAAAAAAAATCAATACAAAAGACATTAAAAAAAAAAGTTCAGCCCTGGCCAGTTTGGCTCAGCTGTTAGAGCGTTGGCCCGTAGACCAGAGAGGTCTGGGTTCAGTTCCTGCTAAGGGCCTGTACCTGGGTTGCAGTTTGTCCTCAGCCCTAGTTGGGGTCTTGGGGTCATGTGGGTGGCAACTACTCGATGTGTCTCTCTCACATCAATGTTTCTCTCTTTCTTCCTCTTCCTCCCTCACCCCACTCTATCTGAAGATAAACGCAAAAATGTCCTCGGGTGAGGATAAAAATAAAAAAAAATTGTTCATTGACTACCAACATTTAAAAATTAGGTAATTGCATATAAATGTCTGCATTTCTGACTTCTTGATAATTTTATTTTATTATTATTTTTTAAAATATTATTTTTCTCTCTATTTATTTTAGAGAGAAAGGAAAGGAGAGCGAGAGATAGAAGCATTGATGGAGAAAACGCTGACTGGCCGCCTACTACAAGCCCTCCACGGGGGATCGGGTCCACAACCTAGGCATGTGCCCTGACCAGGAATTGAACTGGCGACCTCCTGGTGCACGGTTTGATGCTCAACCATTGGGCCACACTGGCCCGGCTTATTTTATTTTTATTTTTTGTTAATCCTCACCCAAGGATATTTTTCCATTGATTTTTTTTATCTTCATCCGAGGACATTTTTGCACATATCTTCAGATAGAGCGGAGAGAAACATCGATGTGAGAGAGACACATCGAGTGGTTGCCACCCACATGACATCAACCGGGGCCGGGGACAAAATGCAACCGAGGTTCGTGCCCTTAGTAGAAACTGAACCCAGGACTCTCTGGTCTGCAGGCCAATGCTCTAACCACTGAGCCAAACTGGCCGGCCAGGGCTTCTTGACCATTTTAAAGGTCTGGCAATGGTAGGTTGGTACAGAAACACCTAGCTGGAGCTGATGCAGGGCTCTCCAGTTTACTATGGTGCCTGCTAGTCCTCTCACACTTGACTCACTCCATTCCACAGACATTTGAAATTGAGCCCTGACTACACTGCTAGTAGCAATGGAATATACTTTATGCTATATTATAAGCACTTATAATAATATCAGTCATCACAAGAAAATTCTGAAATGTGTTTTTTAATTAGAAAGATGTTTGATACTAACAATAATATTTAACAAAAGTTTCAAAATGTCATTTATGGAAAACTTCTCAATAGCTACAAATATTACTAATTTGCATGTGTACTACAGATGATGGTTGGGGGAACTCCCCTACCACCACTAGTCATATTTGTTCCCACATGGAAAAACCATGACATCATTCAAGTTGGGTGGGTGTGAATAAGGAAGCAAAACTGATTATAATAACATTACTATCTGTTCAAATTTCACATGGCACTGCAACAGGAGGCTGCCTGCTTGTGTGCCCTCACTGTGCTCATGCTGCCCAGGCCCTTCACATGCCTCACACTTGTGATCCCGTTAGCACCTACAATATCCCTGACATTGCCTTCCTCTGCCTCCAATTATTAAAACAATGAATCTTGAATTCATGATCCTTCCTTGAAACCCCAAAACCACAATCCTCTTCCTCAAAAGTATTCCACTTCTTTGAGAGATTCTTAGCTTGGTTCTTTTTCTTTGATAAAAGATTTTAAAGAATCCTCCATTTTAATACATTTACACACTACTTGATTTAATTTCATCTGAATCATCATATTTGACAGAATATTAGAAGTAGTCGAGATTCCTGAAATTCTGACATGAGGAAATCACGGATCATAAGAGATTTTACTTGAATCAATTATTCAATCATAGTCATTCAACAAGTTTTGGGGTTCCTACCAATGTGCCAAAAACTCTGGAAAGTGATGATATATAATCCTTCCCCTCATGGAGTTCACGTCTAGTGCAGGGGATGGCCAACTACAGTCCATGAACTAAATCTGGCCCACCAGCTGTTTTTTAAGTAAAATTTTATTGAAACAGCTCAACAGATGTGTTTGTGTGCCATCTACAGGTGCTTTCCTGCTGCACCATTAGAGCTGAGAAGCTGCAACAGAGATCACACAGCCTGCAAAGCCTGAAATATTTACTCTCTGGCCCTTTACAGAAAAATGTGCTCACCTTTCGTCTAGTGAAGCAGACAGACATTAATTAATCACATACAAAAATGCTAAAATGGGTCCTGGCCGGTTTGGCTCAGCGGTTAGAGCATTGGCCCACGGACCAGAGTCCTGGGTTCAGTCCCTGCTAAGGGCACGTACCTCGGTTACTGTTCGTCCCTGGCCCCTGTTGGGGTTGTGCGGGTGGCGACCAGTCAATGTGTCTCTCTCACGTTGATGTTTCTCTCTCTCTCTTCCTTCCTCCCTCTCGCCCTCCCCCACTCAACCTAAAGATAAATGCAAAAAAAAAAAGTCCTTGGGTGAGGATAAAAAAAAAAAGCTAAAATGGAACCCTGAAAATTTTTATAAAGGAGATGTACATAATGTCATGAGAGCGTATTATGGGAAAGAATTGATCAATTCAGGGAGGGCAGACAGGCTTCTTGTAGGAAGTGAAAATTATTATGAACAGAAATGAATTAGGGGAAAAGGAGAGTCAAGAGACATTAGGCGAAAGGAAAAGAACATGCAAGGGACCCTACAGAACAGCACTGTGGGCCCAGGACACTAAAGGAAGTCCTTTGTGACTAGAGTAGAGAGTTCAAGGAGAACACAGTATAATAGAAGGCTAGAGAAATACAAGTGGGTCATGGGGACTTTATAAGGAATGTTGTCCCAATTTCAAAGGTCACATAAAGCTATTAACATGTTTTAAGCAGAGATGTGACAATCAGATGTATATCTGAAAAGATCACACTGAACAAATTTAAGTTTAAAAAAAGATCACTTTGGCTAAAGTGGAGGACACAAAAAGAGCTGATGTGAGAAGACCAGTCAGAAGGCTGTTCTTTGTAGTCCACATTTAGACTATAACGACAGTAGTGTGGTCGTAACAGAGGTCACTGAGATAAGTGGATAGATTCAAGAACTATTTAGGAGGGACCTGTTAGTGAATTTAATGTGTATTATCTGTCTGAGAGGTGTCAAGGGTGGCATCTAAGTTTGGGGCTTTTATACCAACCACTAAGATAAGGTACATTAGAAGACCAATTTTGAGAGGAAAGCGGTATGATTATATAAGATCACGGTCTGGAACATATTCTATTTGAGGTTCTTTTGAGATACTTAAGAGAGTATGTCAAAACTACAATCAGACTAAGTACATTCCCCACTGAAACAACTTAGAAAAGTGTTCATTTTGGGGCGGGGGCTAGAAAAGGACAAGTCAGTCTTGAACACTTTGTTGTGTGAGCAGGTAAAGAAGTGCTCAAAGAAAGATGGGGCCATGTCAAAAAGGAAACAGAAAACATTTGCAGGGGCTTGTACTAGTCAAATTTGGGTCAATTTGAAAATCAAAATAATAATGTCAGTGCACTGAATATAAAAATCCACGTGTCTATAATGGTATTTTTTTTACACGGGGAAGGGTAAAAAGGGAAAGTTTTTCTTTATAATAGAATGCCAATTAATAATCACAAATGGAAAAAACTAGTATCACATCTCCTGAAGAGATATTTTGAGAACAATACAGCAGTACCTCTGTAGATTCCTTGTCCAAAATGTTTCATGTTAACATGAAAATATTATTCATGCTATTCATGGTAACATGGATATAATCATAAGCAATCATTCAGACTAATCCATATTAAACAACAATCTTCAAAATAAACAGCCTAGACTCTTGAAGAATGTTAACGTCATAAAAGACCAAAAAAAAGGCTGAGAAATTGCCCTAATTAAAGGAGACTAAGCACGACAACTAAACATGTGTGATCTTTAAAGGAATCCTGGATTGAGGGGAGAGGCAGGACATACATAAAGGGAACTATTGGGACATTATTGGATATAATTAAGGTAGTCCAAAAATCTAACTGTAAGACTGAGGAGGAACAGCCATAAAAGTAGAAAAACAGGAGAATTTGTACTCGCAGAAATCAAGGAATCACAGTATTTAGGAAGGAATGATCTATAGGATAAATGCTGTTGGGAGGTCAAATAATAAAAATAGGAAATATTTCTTGCCAAGTTTGCATTACTAGATATTTCATGTTTTGTATTCTTATTGTAAGAAAAATATAGTAAAGTATATTTTCTAAATGTACTACTAATATTATAAGGAGGCTACTAATTTTTTTCCTGTTGTAATTAGTTTCATTTTCCCCAAACTCAATACATGTTCATTATAAAAAACGAATTATTAAAAAAAAAAAAAAAATGCCCTGGCAAGTTTGGCTCAGTGGTTAGAGCATTGGTCTGCGGACCAGGGTCCTGGGTTCAGTTCCCTCTAAGGGCATCTACTTTGGCTGTAGTTTGTTCCCACCCTGGCTGGGGTTGTGTGGGTGGCAACCAGTCGATGTCTCTCTCTCACATTGATGTTTCTCTCTCTCTCTCTCCTCCCCCTCTCTCCGTCTGCTCTATCTGAAGATAAATGCAAAAATGTCCTCAGGTGAGGATTAAAAAAAAAAACAAGTTAAAAGAAAAACATGAACCCAGACAGTGTGGCTCAATGCACTGAGTGTTGTCCCATAGACTGAGTGGACTGGTTCCATTCCTAGTCGGGGCACATGCCCTGGTTGCAGGCTCAATCCCCAATAGCAGAAGTGCAGGAGGCAGCTGATCAATGTTTCTATCTCTCTCCCCCTTCCTCTCTCTCTAAAAAATCAATAAAAACATATTTCAAAAGAAAAAGAAAAACATGAAACCCCACAATTCTACCCACCCAGAGACAAGTACTATTAATACTTTAATGTATATACTACCATGGATATGCACACATTTATTTTAAACAAGAAGATTTTTAAAAATTACATATTGTTTTAAACCTATTTTATTTACCTAGCACACTGTGCATATCTTTCTTATACAAAAACATTTTTGCAAGGTTATTTTTAAGGCTACACAGGGATACAATCCATGGATGTACCTGTTTATTTAACTTACCCACCTTTGTTTATTATTTGGATTGTTTTTAAATTTTTGCCATTACAAACAGAGTTGCAATGATCATCATCATAGCTAAGTGTTTGAACAAGCTTAATTAATTGTTTACTGAGGATAAATTCCTAGAAGTAGAATTGCTAGTTCAAGAGACATTCATATTTTTCAGACTTTTGCTTTGCAGTTGTTAAACTGCCTACCAGAAAGGTTTTATTAATTTACTCTCTCAACATCATAATGAATGGACCCATATTCTGGCAGCCTCACCAACACAGTGATTCATAATTTTTAATCTTAGAACTATTGTTGTATGTTAATTTTAGAACCTTCCCTTTTCTAAATAATAATTCCTGTTTTCCAGCTGATTTTCTCACATCTGGCAATTTTAATATTAACTATTAATGAAAAGATAAGAGTAAAAAGGTAAGAGACAAAAACTTTTCACTAAATTGTTCAAACTAAGAAAATAATTAGTTTACAGCATAAACTAATCTATGTTTACTTTAGGTGACAATAAATTCCTGCTACCATCATGAACTATGTCTACTAATACAGAAAAGGGTGCTTCTAATGCAAATGGTAACACAATTTAAATGTACACTACAGCAAGTAGAAGTAGAATGAGGAATTAGTTTATTCTACTAAAAAATATCAGATGTACGTGGATAGGAAACAGAGTATCCTATGCTTATCTGATTCCTACAGATGTCTGTGATTGTATACTTACAATAAAGGCCTGCGTTCTTGTCCAAATTCTGCTTCATAGTAGCCATCTCGGCAGTCTTTTCCTACTAAATCATGAGGATGAGGTTTAAATGGTTCATTCTTTGTTACTAATGTAATTCTCACTTTCCCTTTTCCGTAATAGTTCATAATCTGAAAAAGGGGGAAATGAAATAGATGATCCATAAATATTTCTCATTAAGAAGTGATCTACTCAATGAGAGTTCAATTCATACAGTGTAGTTAGCACTGGATAAACAAAGTCCAGCTGGCTGGCAACTGCAGTTCAGATGAAACTTTCCAGAGAATAGCAGCAGGGAAGAATTTACCTCTCAGTTCCTTGGCATATTAATTTCAATTGGTCACATCATCTGGTTTTGCTTATCTTCCTTTTAAAAACAAGTAAAATTATACCAAAATATTATCACAGAGCATGAGAAAACACTTAATTGTTAAGTCACTGAATGCTATGCTCTTAGATTCACTGTCATATCACAAACATCCCTTTAAAGTATACTTTTAAGGCACAATGGATATGACAGCACACCAATACATAGGGCCATTTTACTTAACATGTGACATTTCATCTCATAAAAATATTTGTTCATCAGTAAGCATATCCCAAGTGTCATACTGAGTTTCACAAAATTGTTTTCACACAGTAAGTACATCTAGAACACTGAGAATAAAAAGGAGAGTAAAGCATGGAAAGAGGACGTTCTGAATGGGGAGGAAATAAGATTTAGTTTGGAAGCTAACAAATTTGCAAACACAAAGCGGAGAATATAAAAACCAGCTTACGCCTGGCCGGTTTGGCTCAGCGGTTAGAGTGTCGGCCTGCAGTCCAGAGAGACCCGGGTTTGGTTCCTGCTAAAGGCATGTACTTCGGTTGCAGTTTGTCCCCGGCCCTGGTTGGGTCATGCGGGTGGCGACCACTCAATGTGTCCCTTTCATATTGATGTTTCCCTCTCTCTCTCCCTCCTACTCTAGTTGAACAATAACAACAACAACAAAAAAAAAAAACGAAAAAATATCCTTGGGTGAAGATAAAAAAGAAAAAAAAACAAACACAAAAACCAGCTCACAACAAGGAAGCAAGGCAGTTAAGTAACAATGGGTAGCTTTACAGGTAAGAGGACATAAGAAGTATTTACTGCTTTTCCGAATAAAAGAGAGAGTAACCACTTAAAACTGTAATATAGCCCTGGCCAGTTTGGCTCAGCAATTGAGCATCGACCTGCAGACCAGAGAGTCCCGGGTTCGGTTCCCGCTAGGGGCACATATCAAAAAACAAAACAAAACAAAAAAACTGTAATATAGGCTGATGTAGAACTCAAGATGTAAAGTGTTTAGGACCTACTGGAATGGTAAGGATACAGATCTTAGAAATATTTTAGAGAACTTACAGAATAAGCTGAATTATGGAGAAGAGTTAACAACTGCTCTTAAAAGATTAGGACAGTGTTTACTTATTTACCTTTTTATTAGCATTTCTCTCATTTTAACATAATAAAAGGACTTAGATGACTCAAATCTATATTGCTACCAAAAAATGTGACAAAAATTAGAAACTTAGGATTCAATAATTTTGCCTTTGCCTTATTCTACAATTTAGCATTCCCTTCAAGTTCAACAGAATAAACTTTGGAAATAATCTAGTTATAAAACAGTGAAATAAAGATCTGTTGATGAAAGACTAAATAATACCTTTCAAAATCCACTCTGCCACTTAAGTTTTTAAGTGGCATTTAAAGGATAAAAATTCGCCCTGACCGGTTTGGTTCAGCGGTTAGAGCGTCGGCCTGCGGTCCAGAGAGACCCGGGTTCGGTTCCCGCTAAGGGCGCGTACCTCGGTTGCAGTTTGTCCCCGGCCCTGGTTGGTTGTGCGGGTGGCAGCCACTCGATGTGTTCCTTTCACATCGATGTTTCTCTCTCTCTCTGTTCCTCTCTCTCCCTCCCACTCTATCTGTACAAAAAATGGAAAAATGTCCTCGGGTAAGGATAAAAAAAAAAAAAATAAATAAATAAAAAATAAAGGATAAAAATTCATTAAAATTCAAACAAAATATAGTACATAAATATAGTATATTTTATAAATATAGTATGTTATCAAAGTCATTTTGGATCAAAAGTTACTTTTGCCCTGGCCGGTTTGGCTCAGCGGTTAGAGCGTCAGCCTGCGGTCCAGAGAGACCCGGGTTCGGTTCCTGCTAAGGGTATGTACCTCGGTTGCAGTTAGTCCCTGGCCCTGGATTGGTCGTGTGGGTGGCAACCACTCGATGTGTCCCTTTCACGTCAATATTTCTCTCTCTCTCCCTCCCACTCTATCTGAACAAAAAATGGAGAAATATCCTTGGGTGAGGATAAAGAAAAAAAAGGTTACTTTCAAAACTTATGCTAACATCAAAAAAAATCTTAAAAATGACCATATTTCAAATCAGTCAATAAAACCCAGAGTATCAGAGATAGGTGGTAAAATAAAGGCAAGGAAAAGGAGGCGAAATGTCCATTCTCCTTTTCCACAGCCACTAGTTTGGCAAAGTGATTGTAGGAAGAATTCGAATTGAATCCCCAAATCTATGTTTTTAATCTACAGAATAATTCTGCTCACTGTTGGAAGGAGAGAATGTTTTTTCCTCATTAGCTCTGTGTTTCATGAAAGAAACCATCACCCAAAAGCTGCCAATGGACACTGTGAATCACTCTACTTAGATTACCACACAAATATTGAATAAGTATCTGCAGGAATGAAAAATCTATATTATATTTAAGAAATGATCCTAGACGGCTATTTAGTACAAATCAATTAAAAAGAAGGAAAAAAAAGCCCTGGCTCAGCGGTTAGAGAGCCGGCCCTCGGACCAAAAGGTTTCAGGTTCAATTCCAGTCAAGGGCATGTACCTGGGTTTCAGATTTGATCCCCGGCTCTGGTCCGGGTGCGGGAGGCAACCAATTGATGTGTCTCTCTCACACTGATGTTTCTCTCTCTTTCTCCCTCCCTCCCCTCCCCTCTCTCTAAAAAATCAATGGAAAAATATCCTCCAGTAAAGATTAACCAAAAAAAGAAAGAAAAAAATAAGTAGAATAATAAAAAGAAATAAAAGCCCACAGAGATAACTGTAAAGAAACGGAGCCTTTAATGTCATTGCTGTAGCTAAAATATGAAGCAAGTAAGAGTGAGACACATACAGGAGAATGGTCTATTACCTGGATAGATGGGTATGTTCGGTTGTTCTCTGTGCTGTGCTCCCCTGGAATGCTGCCTGCTGATCGCCCTTCACATTTGTATCTAAAACGCATTCCCCTCTGCCTCGGTTGTTCAATTATCTCTATATATGGGTTATACCCACCTAAAATTAAAAAAAAAAGGGGGGGGGGTGAGATTAGGATAGCAATAATCATAGATATTAATCATTTCTTTTTTTTTAAACAGCAGACAAATATTTTCCCTCCCAATATTAGCCTTTCAATTACAAGGTTAAAATGCAATTATTTAAGATTAGGTGGTTAAAAACAACACCTTTTTCTTCCATTCAAATTGAGTTTCTATATAGTGTTAACACAAGTCATTCAAATCATATTCATTGATTGGCACCTCATCGTTTAATATTCATAGCTAATGCTAATGTGAAGTTCTGACACAGCAATTTCAAGGAAACCCACTTCTCACATGAGACCAAGCAGAAGGGTTTCCTCCAAGATTCCCCCAGAAGAGTCAAGAAGAAAATCTTCAGAAGCAGTGTTATACTCCACAAGTGAGTTTAACAGCTTGATTTTCCATCAGATTCTTAATAGTGGATTAAAAGACTACTCATTAAAAATGAAAATGAATTTAAATCCTTGTGGAAGGATATGCAAAATGTTTATATCCCCACTGGGGACTTATACACAGTATATCAAAACAAGTTCCAAAAGGGACCTTAGGCTCAATATAATTTTCAGTCAGTCTCATCTAAACTTTTTCTAAAGTATGATACAACAAAAGAAAAGAAAAAATTTATTTACTTTCTATAACAAATCCTATTCAAAATACGCAACTTTAGAATGAACTGCTGATAAATACCAAAGAGATGAATCTCAAAATAATTATGCTGAGTAAAAGGAGCCCAGACCAAAAGAGCACATACTGTTTGACTTCATACACATACTACCCTAGAATATGTAAACTAATCTATAACGTAAGAAAGCAGATCAGGGGTTGGAGTGGATGGGCAAACTGGGGGATGAGGGGTATCTGATTATAGCAGATTTCAAGGTTGTATACATGTCAAAACTTACCAAAATGCACACTTCAAACATGTGCAATTTATTGTATGTCAACAAAGCTAAAACATATATAACTTTATCCCCTCTTATCCAAATCATGGAAACAAAAGCTCAATAAAGACAGTCAAATGTGCTTACAAATAGAGTATGTAGTGATGTGCCTTTATTTCAGGAACATGAAAGGAACTTTCATCAGGAAAAAACCTCCTTCAATCAGTTTAGTGATTTCTAAATTGCCACAATTAGATATTTATTTTTGTGCTTGCTTCAGCAGCCTACATACTAAAGTATGAAACAACTTTAGTTGTATACTAAATTGGGTATCTTTTTTTTTTTTTTTTTTTTTTTACTATAGGCTTATCCTGTGTTGGAATGCAGACAAATAGGCAGGAAGGGTAACACAGTAGGTCTTATCACTGCATTATGGGGAAAAGGTCTTTGAATCCTACCCCGCCAAATCTTGACAATGAAAACCCTGTAAATGTTATTAAACTTCTTAAATCTTCCACTCTATAAAATGGAGATAACAATAACAGTACTAACTCATTGGGTTGTTGTGAGGATTAGAAATCATGTGTTAAGTTCCTACCAAGTCTCTCACACATATCAAATAATAGTGTTGATTATTTCAGATTATTTAGAGAGATACCATGATGGTATCACAACTGCTACTTTTAAGGATTTTACAGAACAGTGAGGCAAACAACACAAATTATTAGACTACAGAAAGGTTGAACAAAGCAAAATTTTCTTTATGCTAACAAAATTCTGTATAAAATGATAATAAGAGCAAAAGAGTCAGGAAAGCCTATCTATATAAATATAAAGGAGAAGTTAATGAAGCGAAAAGGTGGAGAGGAAGGAAGGTGAAGGGGAGCAGATAGGTAATGTAGAGAAAGGGAACAGTGTGTCCAAAGCTGTACCAGTGTAGAAGATTTTAAGAATCACCAATATAGCCCCAATGGAAGTGGGCTGTATTTTCCATGCTTAGAAAGAGAATCAAAAGCCAGAGTACATTTGGGAATTTGGACTTCATTCTATGAGTATCAGAGAATCCGTGAATGGTCTTACGCAGGGGAATCACATGATCAGATTGGAATTTTCAAGTAAGAATTCTGGTGGCAATGAATTGAAAAGAAAAAGCAAGGTAATCAGTTTTAGGGGATGTTACAATAATATGAGCAATGATGAGGGTGTGTCTGAAATATGGTAGTAATAATAGGAATGGAGGATTATTTAAAAGATAAAATTGACAGTACTTAATGACTGAGCATTAGGGTTAAGAAAAAGAATCACTGGTGGCTCCACAGTTTCTACTTTGAGTTACTGAGTAAAGTACTACTCTGTTACCTTTTATTGTATTCTGCTTTGTTCAGACTCTTTGTGTTTGTACTACCTATTTGTTTATTCAAAAGACAAAGCACCAGAAAAAACTGACTTTAACCTAATCAAGTTCATAACACTTATTTCAACTTTACTGAAAAAAAAAAAAAGGCATGCAGATGAGTATTTCATAACTTCACACCCTTATATATTTTTGTACATTTCAAGTAATTTAAATTCATGCTTCAGTTTCAAATATTTCACGTTTATATATCCTTGTAGGAACATTGAAAAGAAAGTACATTTTCCTTGCAATAACTCAAAATACTCAACCGCATTTTTTAAGTGATATCTTAAATCATTTCTGTGGTGGTGAACTAAATCCCTGTCCACTACTTATTTAAAGGTGTCTTGATAGGAAGTTGATATAAAATGACATCATTATGGGTAAGTGGCTAACTTTTGGGAGAGGAGTGTGAAGAAACGTGCTAGGCTCCTAGTGAGAATCCCAATAATTGCACTGGTCACACAATACTTCCTTAAACTAGAAAGTGTTTATGAAAAAGTCAATACACGAGAGAACAGAAAAAGAGTTGTTAAAAGATTAAATACATTTAAAAAAAGATTTTTAAATTATAAAAATGACATATTAGTTATATAACATCAAGTACTTAAAAAAAACACCTTGAAATCTCTTCTTCCTATTGTAGAAGCTCTTTATTGCTAAAAAGTCTTACCGATTGTAATATTCTACATTCCTCCAGCTGGAAATAATGTTCCCCTCCTCTAAACTACTATAGTATTTTGCTTAGGGCACTTAGTCCAAATAACTATAATTTAGGACTTACTATTTCTACTTGAAAAAAAGCTACTTGTTTTATTTCTTCACACTACTTGAAGGCAGGAATTGTGTCTTACTCATCAGTCCTTTGCACACAGATATTCAGTAAATATCTGTTGAATGAATGAATAAATCTAAAGCTCTTTTTGTGTAAGTTAATGCACTCATGATTAATCAGATTTGCTTCAACAGATTTCACAACTAAGGAAAAAAATAGTGCTTTGTATGCACTAGAATGGCTACATTGTCATACTCCTCATACACATATTCATATTCTGATTTCTTTATATGTATCTGTTTTTTTAATTTTCCAGCTATAAATCATTTATATCATGTATCAGTACAATGTACCAGTTACTTCCTTCCCCAATACCATGTTTTGAAATGCAATTCTTCCTGAAGATAAAAAGTGCTGAAATGTAGACGTCTGTGGAGTGGAAGAAGGTAAAATATAAATCAGGGAATTGTAGGGAAAATGAGTATTCTTAACTAATACTATCTCAAATCACTAAAGTTTTGAAAAGCACTGAAAAGTCTTCAAAATTGGTTCCAAATAAATTGATTACTGTACTTTTCTTTAACAAATAAGCTGGGATTGACCCCTATATTTTGAACAATATTGTAAAAAGCCAAAGGAGACCTGAATAACACTTGAAATATAGCCAAAATGTTTATAAGATTTATGGTTTTATCTGCACTTATGCAAAAACAGTGCTATTTTAAAACATAGTGCCTACCTAATCAAGTATGAGCTTGTAAGATAAAAAAATTACACGGAAATAAAATTTGTAAATGGATCATCAATTGTCAGAAACAGACGCATTATAAACTAAAACTCATAGTTAGAATTGGCAACCAGCATTAATTATACAGTGAAAAAAATATTAATTATAGTAATTATAACACTGTCTTAAAGCACTTCATCATTTCTCATATGATCCTTTTAACTTTATTCTTCATAAAAACAGAATAGAAATTATCATCCCATTTTATAGATGATAAAACTAAAGCTCAAAATTATAGGAAACTATGAATGACATTAGCAGCAAATATGACAGATGAGATCCAACAAGCATAAAAGCAGCTGGGGGTAAATTCACAATAACTGATACAGTAAATAACCTAAAGTAAATGCAACTTAGTTTAAGAAGATACAAATCTTGGTATAGGCAAGTGAGTATTTAGATCCAATGAAATTCCTGGAACAGAGTTCATACTGGGGTTGTATATCAGAATCACCTAGGTAGCATTTCAAAACATACATGCCCTGACCTCACCTGAGATCTGCTGAATACAAACAGAGATCCATCTAAAGCCCAGACATGTTTCTGAAAAAGCCTTCCAAGCAATTCTAACACATTCCTGATTAAGAATCATTGCCCTAAAACATAAAGAAGTGGAAATAATGATGCACATATCTAGAAAAATAATCCAGAAATTCACATACAAGTATGGGCTGGGTGATAGATAAAGTAGGCAGAGGAATTCTGACTACTTATAACCCTGATTTCTCTCCTTCCCACTCTAAAAAGCTTATCCAAATGCAAGCAAGGGGGGAAAGCATTGTTAAAGAGACAGCCTTTAATCATGCTGATTTATTTAAAAAGTAAGTCATTTACAAAATTAGTAGTTTAACTATCATCAAAAACATTTCTTAAAACACAGCATATAAATTATCATAACAAGACAATGTGTCAACACCACCATTGAGGACTACAGATTGCATCTCCCTCACAGAAGTAATGGATAACAGACCCAAAGGGGCAAATGGAGCTAACATATACTTTTCCAAATATCACCTCAACTCACTTTGGAGAAAAAGAAAATAACATCGATTCTTTCCTTCAACCTAGCAACCCAACTGAATCATGGTGATGATCTTCTTTACCTTAAGACACAGGTGAGTTTTTGTTTCTTCCTATTATGTTCAAAATTTAGTTACCACTTCTTATATAGCTAGAATTGCACGCAATTAACAAAGGGGCAACGAAAACTTAAGCCTATTCCCTTAGGAAGGAAAAAGACTAACAGGGAAGGTGCAAAAGAAATCAAATAGAGGATATGTTATCAGTGAACTTGGCAAAAGGACACATGGTTTATCTACTAAGCAATGTCTGATTTACTTTTATTCCCCAGAACGCTGTCATTTAAGTGGACAAAGGAGAAAAAAATTGAGTCCAAACATCACTGTCAAATTCTACTCCCCTAGTTTAAATATACACAAAACCATTACAAATTTTTAAAAAGTAAATGAGTATTCTTTCCTTATATATTCTTGAAAGACATATTTTCTAACTAGCATCTGATCTAGTGTATTAATATTGGTTCTATAGTTTCACAAAATTCTAGGATCACCGGGATACTTAAATAGTAAGTGCCAAGGGTTTTTAGTAGTTTCTGTTTTCTACAGGTTTAAGTCCCAAAACTGTTCCTGTACAGAAGAAAACTAACAAACATTATGGGCATGCATGATCACATTTATTCCTCAAAAGACTCTGCAGTAGTTATTACCATTTTTATATCACAGAGTGGTAGAAGTGGAATAAAAACCAATTCAGGTCCATCGTGGGCTAAAGTCCAGGTTTATTCCAATATACCAGGCTGATTCTCAATTGCATCTTAAGAATAAGTAAGGGAATTTTCAGATGAGTTTTTGACTGATGTACGCATCACTAGGTAAATAAAAGATGTAAAAGATTCTAGCAACAGAGAGTCTACTGCTAGAGATTCCATTGCCAAGGGGTAAAAAATATGTTGAAAAAAATTTTAACTTCCAGGGTGAAAAAGTAGAGAAATATTTAAAATCTGTCCTAGATTTTTCAGGTATTTAACTAAACTAAAACTAGATGGCAGGGCCAAAACTTCTGTCTTAATTAAGATTGTGATTTAAAAATAAAAATTACAGTATGCTCATTTAAATAGGAATTAAACAAATACATTTTATTTTGGTATATCTCATGCATTTTTTTTTTTTTTTAGTTTTTTTTTTCTTTATTGATTTTAGAGAGTGAAAGGGAGAGGAGGAGAGAGAGAGAGAGAAACACCGATTGGCCACCTCCTGCATGCCCCCCACTGGGTAACTTAGGCCCACAATCTGGGCATGTGCCCTGGCCAGGAATCAAACTGACAACCACTTGGTGCATGGGTCAACCCTCAACCACTGAACCACACCGGCCTGGGCCCCATGCCATGTTAATGATCATTATTCACAAATGAAAAAATATTGTCCTGCTAATTTTTAGGAGGTTTTGGGGAATGAAGTAGATAGAAAAATTATTAGAACATTCACTTTGTTAAAAGTATTTGTTATGTTCTGTTGTATAATGAATGATATACACAGTGGTAAAACAAAAGAAAAACTGTTTAAAATATATACTAAGAAAATGTCCCTATATCTTCCCATTTAACATTTTTCTCTACAACATGTCTAGATTTCCAACATCTAAACTCGGACCCTTGGAAAATAAAAAGAGCTTTCTTTTAATAATAAAAAAATCCTTGTGGTTTACAATTTGCACAATATTTCTTTTGTTGTACTTTCTATCTTGTTTACAATCATTTCCTCTGGTATATTAAAAAAAAAAGTATATGCCATTCATATGCCTACAATCCCAACCATTTGTCTCTAGAGAACAGATGAGAAAAAGATGGAACAAAAGGAATGCCAAATTCCTTAAATTGTATTTGAGATACCACAAACACACAACCCACAGGTTCCCCCAACTGATTCATGATCTGATTCCTCACTAGTCATTTCATTCACTCATTCCCTTTCCTCTATGTCTACCATACATCACCTTTATTCCTTTATACCACTGTTATCTCTATATTTTCATGTGTTGCATTTCTGAAACAGCCTACATATTATGTGTAATCTTTTATTTTAAAAAAGAGGTCATCTGCTTTAGCTATCAATTCCAGCTTGCAGCTCTACCATTAAAAATTTAAGTTGCACCACACTTACATCTCTCCGCCCCTTACTCAAGAGAAATCGTTTTCTTGAAATTCACTCTACAGACAAAGTTGAGAAGTAGTGTGTGATTTACAAAAATAATGTCTTCCTGTACTTCCTATGTGACACAGCAGAACTATATTAAAGAAAACAAGTAATAAAAGTAATCTAAATTTTAAACCATTATTTTACCAAAGGCAGTACTATTTTAGTAAACAGAGCTGCTATGTGCACACAAGAACATTTTACTTTTTATTGGAACAATGAGAAGCTTTAAATTCAGACCTAAAATAGCTAATTTTATTTAAATATACAATAATGATGGCCTAATGGGTATGGGAATATTTTTCTTCACTATGACGATTGTAATGAATCATGCCAAAAGACTGGAATCAAGGTGTAATTTAAAAAGGCAACTTAACAGAATGTAAACTGTGAAATTCTAAATAATCTGATAATTTACCTGAACCAAATTTAGAAATCTATCTGTCTATCTTATCTATATCTATATATCAAAGCCCCAGTTACTCATGGTACTTACGTAATTTGCTTATAAGATTATGATGTTACTTTTTACGTTATAGGGATCACATATTCAACTACACATACCAATTTACATATGACATCCGGGGAGATATGAAGACATGGTCTTAAAGACTTGGTAATCAATAAAAATACCTTTTGAGGTTTAATACTACCTTACAACAAACACAATCTAAACTAAACAATGATAAACTAATTTAGCACACTTTTTTGTGTGACTTGGTTAAATTACTGTTTCAAAATAGAATGAAAATTTATAATTTAGTGACTCTTTTTAAGGTCTTTACAACTGGTTAAGGAAAGAAAGTACTCTCAGACTTCTTTTTAAAAATTTGTTTGGCAGTTTTCAAACAACTGAGTTATGATTTAAATAGCTTGTGATACTCTAAAACTTTCCATTCCTTAAAAACATTTCCCCTTCAATTTAGGGAATCAGCCCTCACAATAGCACAAAATATAATGGCATTAATCAAGTTTAAATTGTATCACATTTTAAGTGATGTGGGTTTTACAATACTGTGTTAACTATTTTCTCTCTCTTTTGAAATATTACATTTATGCCAAATATTAATCAAGTCTGGTTTAATTACCAGCAGGCTGACCTGTTTTTTAACTTACTATACTGCTCACCATTCTCAACTACTTGCATACAAGATCTCATAACCAATAAACTAACCTAATATTTCAAGTCATCTTTGCACTTTTAATCTAAACGTGCTTTGAATTTATGAATTTACAAGATTATCTGAAAGTCTGGGGGTCAGTGAAGTGAGTAAAGAGAAAGTTGAAATATTTTAAACTCCACTTGTTCTCATACGAAAACCACACACAAACTGAAATCAAATGTCATGTGAACTACCCCAATTTCCTTTTCAGCCTACAGCAGTACCTATGGCATTGTTCTGCTCAACCCCTTTAAAAAGTCCTCTAAGCTTTCAACTTCCTCTTCTCTGCTAGACATCAGCCTTCTCCCGGGGGTTACTGTCTCGGGGACTTGGGAGGATGCGGGTCAGGCATAAACAAGCGCCCCTCTTCATTAGTAAAGCGTTGACCAGTAACTTTTAAGCCGCTCTGCCGGGAAAGTGCCCCAATGAACCACACCAGGATCCTGAAAAGGTCCGACTAGAACTCTGTCTAGATGTACTTCCCTTTGGTTACCGGCTGACCTAAACCACGGGTATAAATACGAGACTCCCTTGCTCACTAGGCTGTTTCTTAGTAAACTCGTTTCCCCGCAAAAGCAAAGAGATTCACGCATTTACTACCTGAAAATGAGTATTTACATAATTGATACAAAGCTGTTTTCATTCCTACCCGTATTTTAAAGTATGAGTATTCTAAAAATCCTCTTTCCAACAAAGGAAAAAACAGACAAAAAAACAAAACTCGACCTCTCCCTAAACTAGAATGTGCGCACTGTACCATAAAAACTGTCCATTTTGTTGCAGCAACATTTCCACTTAAGCCCCGTTAAAAGACCATTGGTGACTTTTAAAGGCACACATTTTGTACAACTGTCAGCACAACAGCGATCACCTCTTAGCACTTGATGAAATTAAACTAGAAAAACGCAGAGCTCTCCTGAGGTCTGAGGTTCCTCATTTCTGGTCTAAAACATAAAAACACCATTTCAATAAACATCAATTTTTTTTTTATCCTCACCCGAGGACATGCTTCCATTTTTTGTTCAGATAGAGTGGGAGGAAGAGAGAGAGAAACATCGACGTGAAAGGGACACATCGAGTGGCTGCCACCCGCACGACCATCCAGGGCCGGGGACAAACTGCAACCGCGGTACGTGCCCTTAGCGGGAACCGAACCGGGTCTCTCTGGACCGCAGGCCGACACTCTAATCGCTGAGCCAAACTGGCCAGGGCAACATCAATTTTTCAATAGAACTCTTCGTCTCCTTTTATTTAGATGATTACTTTCCTAACTAAAACCAAGTCGCTGGGAATTTCTAAAGTTCCGGCTATTATAATGGGGCATCAAATTACACAGCGAGGCTTTGATTTCGCACGCAAACCGTGAACCACCTTTTAACAAGGTTGACAATTTGCCAGATGAGGCGATTTTGAAGACAGAATGCGCCACAGTCAGAACCGAGTCCCCGAGACTCGGCAGCAAGGCCCCGGACCAGCTCCTTCACCCCCGTCCCGGATCCGCCCGCGGAGCACTTACCGGAGGCCATGGCTCCTCTCTGTTCCGCGCGTCCCGACCAGAGGCTGCCGCCGTCAGTCAGCCCGCCACTCGGTCCTCTGCCGGCGGGACCCCCTGTCCCCCAGACCGCCTCTGGGGCTTCTTCCTCCTTCCCGCCCTCCTCTGGTTTGCGGCTCACACCTTCCCACCCCCTTAATTCTCGCGCTCCAGATCGCCCGGCGTCGCCCGTCCAGGGTGCGGGAGCCAGGGGGCGGAGCGCGGCGAGAAGGGCCGAGCGCCGGCCGCCGAAGTGAGAGGCACCGGGCAGTAGGGGGATTTCCCACGGCTGACGTAGGCTCCTCGCCGCCGCCTTCCCGGGGGCGAAGAGCCGGTCGTCCTCGCGGCGAGCGCGCGCGCATCCGCGCTCCACGGCCCACGCTCCGCCCCGCCCGAGCCCCGCCCACGCTCCCACCCCTGGAGCTGCAGGGGGCTCAGGGCCAGGTGTGAGGAGCTGGTGCACTGGGTCTCCGGGAGTGCAGGAACACTGGGAGCTGGGGGGTGACGGTCCCCACAGGAAAGCCGCCGGCTCCTGAGAAATCCCCCTCCTCCAGGTTGTTCTACGCAGCGTGGTTTAAAGTTCAGCAGCGAGTAGGAGGGCGCAGTGACGGCGAGAGGGCGGCCCCCGGGAGCACTTGGGGGCGGGGCGGGTGGCGCGGGGGGGACCGGCCTTCGTCGCCGGGGGTGGGGGAGGGGACTAAGGCCCGGGGTTTTCGATGGGTGGTTCCCCCCTCTTCCCGATTTCGCACATGCAAATCTCCGCCCCCGCGCCGGCGGGCAGCGCAGCGCCACGCCACCGTAGCTGTGCTGTGGAGGGGAAGTGCGGAAGGCGCTGTCTCCAGTATTCACTTGTAATTCATGTATTTGCATATGGGGACCTCCGCTGTCTGATTTTCCCTCTTTATATCTAAATTGCGAAGCGTCAGTAAACTTTACTACTTTACCTAGTAAAGACTCTTAAACTCTTAAGGTTCATCACTCTGTGAGTGGGTTGCATCATTGTGCAGTGTGCTCCAGATTAGCCTGGGATTTGACAGAGATGCCATGAGGACAGGGTGAATGGAAAGAACGTTTAATGTGTTAGAGCAGTGATTTTCAACCTTTTCCATCTCCTGGTGCATAGAAACTAATTACTAAAATTCTGTGGCACCCACAAATATAGAGTTTTTGCCCATCTTACAAAAAAATAGGTATAATTTTTATTCATTCACACTGGACGGCTGTTGTGTGTTGTATTGTCTGTTGTCATTTTTTTTTTATTTGACTATTTAAGGGAAGAGAGGTCAGTGCCCCTGACTAGTCAGGTATTATATGTTTTAACTTTGTTTCCTTTGTGTATTAAGAACCTGTATGTGTCCGTTCATTTACCCCATTTATAACATACTGTTATCCTCATTTTATAGATTAGGTAATCAAGGTTCAGAGAAATTAAGTAATACTTAAGAGAAGTTAAGTTCCTACTTCAGAATGCTGGTAAAAAGGAAAGTACAGTTTCAGCACAGGGCTGTCTGATTCCAAAGCTCCATGCTCTTTCCACTGTCCCTTTCTGTCTAAAATAAGGAGGGGGAAGAGGGAATAATCAGTCTGCCATACAAGTGCGGGAACTGGAGGACCCAGTTTGGGGGGAGGGTGTCAAAATCTCCAATCTCCTACCAACCCCAAAATATCCTTTCCACACAATGTAAAAAAGAATGCAACTGTTGAATAAGCATTAAACCATACTGTGATGCACTAAAGAGATTGTGGAGACAAAAAAGAAATCTCACTTGGTAAGGATGTTAGATTTTATTCCAACTTTACACAGAAAGCTATTGAGAGTTTTAAAGTGTGTGATATACTTATGATTATATTTGGAGATGTTTACTCTAACTGATGTGTTAAACTGTTAGCATACACTAGGGGCAAGGATGAAGGCAAAGCAGTTAAGAGGTGTTGGAGTAGTTTGGGAAGTAAAAGTGTTTTGTTTTTAAATCCTCACCTGAGGATGTTTTTCTGTTTATCTTCAGATAGAGTGGGAAGGAGGGAGGGAGGGAGGGAGAGAGAGAAACATCAATGTGAGAAGGACACATAGACTGGTTGCCTCCTGAAGGACCCCAACCAGGGCCTAGATGAACTGCAACTGAGGTACATGCCCTTGACCAGAATCAAACCCCAGACTCATTGGATTGGATGTAGGTAGGAGAAAAAAAGGAATTGGAAACTCCCTTATTTTTTTATCTGAGCAACCAAGTAAAAAGGGAGAAGAAAGGTGAACAAAAGGTTTGAGAGGGAAAATAAGGAGTTGTGTTTTTGGACATATTATATTACAGATGCCTATTAGCTATCCCAGTAGACAGTTGAATACGCAGAACTAAAGCTAATGGGAGAGGGCAGGGCTAGAAATAAAGATCTGGGAGTAGGCAGCATTTCACCTAAAGAAAGAGTTCAGATAGAGAAAAAAACTTAAAAGAGCCCTAGGATCCTCCAAGTCTTAGGGAAATGGTAGAGAAGAAGGAGCTTCTGATGAAGTAGGAGGAAAACCAATAGACTGTGGTGTCCCAGAGAGTGTTTCAAAAAGAGTGGAAGTGGTCAGCTATGTTAAATGATGCTGAGAAATGGGAAAAGATGAAAATAAAGAAATGACCTTGGATTTGGCAAGATGAAGGTCGTTAATGACCTTGATAAGAACCATTATCAGTGGAATGGTAGGGATGAAAGCTGAATTAAAGGAGGCTGAGAAGAGAATGATGGAAACCATGAGTGTAGACAACTCGTCAAAGAGCGTTAAAGGAAACAGAAATGGGAAAATAGGTGGAGGGGGATGTGGAGTTATGTTAGGCTAAGGGTTGTCACTGACAACTGCATTTGCAACAGGTTAACATAATTAAAGTTTATTTATCATCTGAGTCACAGTCCAATGTGAATTGAGTGGCTTTCTTCCTGGAGTAACCCGGGGACCCAGGCGCCTTCAAGCTTGTAGTGCCAACATGTAGTCGTCAAAGTCACCTTGAAAAAGGAAAGAGAGTAGAGAATCACAAACGGGAGATTTTTATGGGCCAGAGCTGAAAGTGGAAATCATTACTTCCGGTCACAGTCTACTTTCCATATGGCATCCACAAGGGAGCTGAAAAATATAATTTGAGAAATGTAATTTAGCTGTGTGCCCAAGTAGAAGAGAAGAAAGTGTATATCAGTGTGCATTAGCAGTCCCTGGCACTGAAGTTTTGTTTTGTTTATAGAGAGTGATGTTAAGGCATATTTGTATAAAAATGAGACTGACTCAGTAGTGAAGGAGAAATGGATGATGATAGAGCACAGGGGGTAATGTGCAGGGAAGGGAGAAAAGATTAAATCTAGAACACAGGTTATGGGGCTGGCTATAGATTGGAATGGGGACACTTCTACCATAACAAGAAGGAAGACAGAACAGATGCAGAGAACCTGGTAGACTTGATGGTATGAAAATGAGGTAATCAGTCAAATTGCCTTTTTTTTATATATAGTGAAGTATGATGATGTAAGGTTCATCTGAGGGGAGGGCGGCGAGGGAATGGACGGTTCGAGGAAGAAGAGAAGCTGAAAATGTGGTTTGTGAGAGTGGAACTTTATAAGGTATATCTGGTTGTACTGAATAGCCACTTGAAATCGGTGGTCATAAATGTAATGTTAGGCCACTAAACAGTATTTCTTATATGGTTTTTAACCCAGGGGATATCAATGGTTAATATTATGAAAAAAAGACGAAGAACTAGGAAAATTTAAATCTGAATGGGAATATGAAGGAAGAATGCATAATGCCTCTCAACCCACACACACTCCTTGAGTAATTTCATTTGTTCTCATGATTTTGCCCATGGTCACAGGACCATATGTCCAGCCCCGAGCTTTCCCTGGGCTTCAGACCTGTATATCTCATTATCTTTGAGACATCTCCGTGGGGAAACTCATAGGCATCCCAAACTCAATCTACTCAACATCTCTCCCAAGTGTACTCTTACTCCCATACCCCTTATGCCACCATCTACGCATAAACAGGTTAGAAAATTAGGAGCCATCTTTGACTCTCTCTTACCATCACCACCCCACAACATCCAATCACCAAATCCTACTGGTTTTACCTGTTAAATATCAATCCATTTCTTTTCCATCTTGACTGCCACTGTCCTTGTTCAAATCATCATCATATTTCACTTTAACTACTGGAATGGTCTGCTATTATGCCTCTCTACACTTCTGTCCCCTTTGGAAGCCATACAGACCTATTCAGACCCTTTGCTGACGGAGTCCTCTGTATAAATTCATATCAGACATAACACTCTTATGCTTTAAAACCATCCATCAGCCTTAAATCCAAGCTCTTAGACAAGTTCCTGCCTCTTTCTTCAGCCTCATCTTCTGCACTCCATCCCTTGAATTTTACACCTCATTGAACTGCTTTGTATCTTCTCATATTCCAGAAGCCATTCTGTTTCTTGTCTGCCCTCGTTCATACTGTCCCATTTGCGTAGAATGCTTCTCCCCAGAGACGTGCCATGTTCCTGGATTGCAAGACTCAGTATTGTTAAAATATCAGTTCTCCCCAGATTAATCTATATGTTTAGTGAATCCCAATTGAAACACCCAACATATTTTTTGTTGTTGGAATTGACGAGGTGATTCTTAAATGTATATAGAAATGCCAAGGTCCTAGAATAGCCAAGCCAATATTGGAGAACAAAGCTGGAGAATGTACATTACCAGATATCCAAATTTATTATAAAAGTACAGAAATTAAGTTAATGTGATATTAGCACAAATTTAGACAAATAGAACAATGGGCTGAATGAGAAACTGCAGAAATAGATCCTTTTTTATAGCAGTCATTTGTCTATAACAGTCTCCACTGCTATTCTCTGGGGGGGGGGGGGTCTTTTCATTAACTGGTGCTGTGATTAATTTGTCATCTAAATGGCAAATCATGAAACCTGACATAACCTTACACCATACCCAAAATATTATTTAAAATAGATCATAGATAAACATGTTAAAAGTAAAATAAAACTCCTAGGAGAAACCTTTATAACCTTGGGATAGGCAAAGACTTCTTCAACATTACATAAAAAGCAATGAAAAGAAAAGGTAAGTTGGACTTAATTACAATTAACTACAAAATGCCACTAAGAGAATGAGAAGGCAAGCCACAGACTAGAAGAAGATACTTGCAATACATACATCTGATAAAGAAGTT